ATCTATATAGATATATATAGATATATATATATCGCACACTGTATATGAATTATGAATTGGGCACTATGACTTTGAGAGGCTTACAAGCTCATAGAGAAAGATAGACACACACAAACACATACATAAACACAGTGACACACACATACATACATGAACACAGTGACACACATACATACATACATGAGCACAGTGATACACACACATACATGAGCACAGTGATACACACACACATACATGAGCACAGTGACACACACACGCACATACATGAGCACAGCGACACACACATGCACATACATGAGCACAGTGACACACAGACAGACACACACTAGTACCTGCAGCTCGGGACCAGGCTCCTCCCACAGTGCAGAGACTCAGAGAGTGGCCCGAGGAGGTAGTCTGAGGCTCCAGAGAAGGCATGTAACAGCAACAGCCACAGTGCTGGCAGAGCAGCTCCAAAATGAGTACAGGGGGCGGGGCGGGACGAAGCTGAACTGAGATCATTGCAGCAGAAGCCCCGAGCCCGGCATCCACACCATTACATCTATGTTTGTGGCTGTGCTATGATTTTTCCGCCCCCTCCCGCTGGCGCCCTCTGGCGGCCGCTTGACCTGCCTTACGGTAATGCCGGCCCTGCTCCCCTCGTATTACTGGGCCTTCTGGAATCACTCACGGTACAGGCTCGGCCGTTTGTCCAGGCCGCGATATCCCCACTGTATCCATGTCACTGTGTCCCTCTGAAGTGATTGTTCAAGTCTATTTGAGCACAGCAGAACAGGATGTAGTCTTTCTAACTCTCTGAAGACAATTTGATCCACTTATGCTCACCTCGATAATACATGCAAAGCCTGTGAGCCCCTCTGCCTCAGCGGCAGCCACACAGCTCTGCCTCTTACCCTGGATTCCCCCAGGCTGGCTCTCACATAGTCTACGGCTCCTCTGCAGCAGGGCAATCACACAGATCCGTGCACTTGGCTGTATTCTCCCGGACTGAGCGCGCTCAGCAATAACAGCCTCCTGGGAGTTGCAGACTGAAAGATCTCACACAACACCACCAGTCTCCTGTTCTGCACTGCAACTCCCACGAGTCTCCACCTCACAGGCTGCACAAGGTCAGTTAACTATTTACAAGCAAAATATCGATTATTTCAGTAGCAACTTATACATATGGGCTACACTGCATCAATAATGCTTTGAGCTTGCTTCATAGATCAAGATTAGAGGTATGGTTTTTACCAGTAACTGATTCTAAAAATGATATATAGTAAATATGTACTGTTTTTAAAAAGCCCGTTTTTCTAAGGACCCCTGATATGGGTCCGTTTATCTCAAATATCTGTTGGTGGTGTGCATACATTTCCAGAACCCACTACCTTTGTGAATATGATTTCATTTAACTTAAGTTGTAAACAATATGCACATACTGGAAAAATAAAAACACTTAATTTCAGGAGATAAAATGTTCCCATGCTGAGTGCTGCTCTTGAAGACTTAAACTGGGAGGGAATATTTTCATCAAAAAACACAGAACAAAAATGGTAATGTTTCAAAACAATTGTTTGCAAACATACTGAAAATTATATTCCTGTAAGCAATAAGTTTAAAAGGCTAAAAGTAAAACCCATGTGGCTCACATCCAATGTTAAAAAAGCCATAAAGAATAAGAGGGCATTTAAAAAAGGGCATTTAAAAAATATAAAAATGAAGGAACACTGTCGTCATTTGAAAGCTACAAAGAATATAACAAAATATGTAAGAAGGAAATAAAGCTTGCAAAGATTCAAAATGAACGACAGGTTGCAAAAGAGTGCAAGATTAACCCCCCACAATTATTTAAATATATTAATAGTAAAAAAAAAACGGGTCTGAGCATATAGGCCCCTTACAAGATAACTCAGAGTTGGTAACGGGGGCAAAGAGAAGGCAAATCTATTACATACTTTTTTCAGCTCTGTGCACACACAGGAAAAGGGTGTAACTCAAGTCCATAATGGGGATAGCAGTGCCATTGCCTCTAATGAACCACAATGGCTGACTAATGATATGGTCCAGAAACAGTTAGACAAAATTAAGGTGAACAAAGCACCTGGACCAAATGGTTTACACCCACCTGTCCTCAAAGAATGGAGCTGTATAATTTCAAAGCCATTGTATCTCATTTTTAGAGACTCTCTACCGACTGGCTTGGTACCAATTGATTGGCGCAAGGCCAATGTGATGCCTATATTTAAAAAGGGATCAAAGTCTTTACCAAGTAATTACAGGCCTGTAAGCTTA